GGGTCCCTGTGGCTGACTGTACCTCTGTCTGTCTTCCTGGCTTTTAATCCCCTTTCTTCTGCTCTTCTGCCCTGCTGTTTTGTGTGTCCCTGAGTTGTCCCTGGGGCTGAGTGCTCCTCTCTCTGGGTTCCTGGCTTTTACTCCCCTTTCTCCTGCTCTTCAGTGACTAAGACTATTAATTTCATTTTTGTTTTATTTTGTAGTATGAGAATAAAGTGTATTTTGTGAGAATAGAAAATAAATAACTAGGATATTTTTAAGTGATTTGGGTATATTAAAATCTTTTTTAAAAAAGTGAAAGTGATTACCTGTACATCTTAATTGCCAAACATATTCAAATTGATGAGGACTGTTAGTTTGGCAAATATCATCACAAGTGGTTCTGTTGTAGCAGAAGTTCCCATGAATTAAGTAAACCTTCTCCACAAACCAACATGAATTCCTTGTGCATCCTGAAATGTATACACACTGGAAAAAGGTAATGGAAAATGACAAATAGCTTGTTAAAATATATATCATTATTTTTGTCTTTTACAATACATAGCTAATTTCTTAATTCATCAATTAAATTTTAAGGGATACACATTTTAAACCTCTCTTTAATAATTCCTTCTATTCCTTTATCTTCTCTTTCTATATTATCTTTTGCTGCATCTATATTCAAAATTCCTATGTGCTATTCTTTTGGATTTAACTGACTCCTTATTCTAGAGTTCCTTACCTTCTGTTAGCTGAAATATAAGATTTTTTCACAAATTAAAAATATCTGTAGAATAAATTAAGAAGGACACTGGTTAAAATCCTTGTAACTCAGTAGAATTAATACAGTAGATGATAGGGCACCATTCATAGTTGTTATATACTTATATCATTTGAATGTGTTTTATGATAATCAGAGCATATTTTCTAATAATATGATTTGTCTTTAGTAATTTCCAGCATCTTCAAAGTCAGAAATCATATCTAGTGTGCTCTAATGAAATTAATTTAATTAAAACCATTTTAAATCATGTTCAGATCACCATTAAGTTTTGATACATTCTCCTCTTCCTGGAATCTTGAGAAGGCGTAAATCAGTATGATAAATTTAAGCTCTGGAGATAACCTAGGGCTCTGCATTCTGTTTAGAGAACACTCTAAATGTATTTACATTATTATTATTATTATTATTATTTTACAAAGAAATTTCTGCTGAAGTAGACAGAGTTAAGCTGAGTCAGGGTATACAAGGGATTATTAACATTAAGTGCCTCCTTTTGTAAAATCAATATACTAATTTAGCTTTGTTTTCATTGTTTCTCTAGTCATGCTAGTTTTCTACTAGATTCTTATCTATAATTTCCTAACAGCAAAAATACACATATCTTAAGGTATCAGTCTCCCAGTTAATTAATAAGCCATCATGTAACTGAATGAAATCAAACTGAAGATGAGAAATACTCTGAAAAACCATTGTCATTTAATTGTATTTAATGTCTATCAACATGATAAAATTCTATGAATCTTTCTAAGTCCTGAGATCACCAAAGTTTTAATCCATCACTTTTATAAGGAGACATAGAATTTTAAATACTATAAATGGCATTAATCAATCTTCATTGCTAGTTAACATTACCTCTTATTGGATTTTTAATGTTCATTGCAATAGAAAATTTGAAGGCCTATTAAATTCTGGTTCTATGACTGTTAAAAAAAAACTTAAAAAAGAAAGAAAAACTTGTCAAAGAAATACAATATCTATAGTTATAGGATACTATAGACCCATATCTTCAATAAAAAGAAAAAAAGTTTAAACTAAGCAATCTCTTAGTATTTTTGTTTTATTTTTGATTTTTAAATTAAGAGTCTTATAGACAGCTCGACAAAAGATAAGCAATCCACATTTATCTGGTAAACTCAGTAGTGAAGATGCTATTTAGAAATAGAAATTTACTTCTGTTATTACTGGGAGATAAACCAGTCAAGAGCAGGCATTAACTAATGATGGCTGATTCCAAGCAAATGATAGGAATGGCATGAATCCCTGTTCACAGTGAAGGTGTGGTATGGTGATCATCCTGCCAGTTTCAATATTTCTTGGAGAACAAATTTAATCCCTTGGCTTTTTTTTTTTTTTTTATCCTGAGTAAGAAACAAAAGTCCTCCACTGTAAGTTTCAAGGGAAGTCAAAACAATTTCTCTATCATTAGACACTTCCATCTTGAATAAGAACACTGGGGAGATATCCTGACTTAGACAGAGGTTATATTTTAAGGGATTAGTTGAGATGGAAAATTGGAGCTCTTATTACCTTTTTTAAATATTGTCTTCTACGTTAACAATTGAATGCTAGGAAAATTTATTTAATCATACTACATGCAGATTTTAGGAAAGACTGCGATATGGTTCAATCTCTTACAGTTACCTCTTTTATAACTTGTAAGTTTGGATGAGAGTGTATGCACTCACACATACACATTCACAAAACCAAAAACCAAACTCACTGCTGTTGAGTCGAATCTAATTCAGCAACCCCTCCTTGGGTTTCCAAGGTAGTATCACTATGGAAGTAGGTTGCCCAACCTTCCTTCCAAGGAGTGGCTGGTGGGTTTGAACCACCAGCCTTCTGGTTAGCAGTAAAATGCCTTAGGCACTAAGGCACCACCAGAGCTATGGAAACCATAGCACAGTGGTTAAGTACTTGGCTGTTAACAAAAAAGGTCAAGGGTTCAAACCCATCACAGCCTCGGAAACCCTATGGGACACTTCTGCCGTGTTCTATAGGGTCACTCACTATGAGTCAGAATTGACTCAACAGCAATGGGTACACATTCATAGTAGCATTAAAAAAAATAATTGTAACCTTTAAAGCATGTTAATAAAATGTGAATAGAGTAAGATAAAGAGAGGGAAGAGTGGAGGCTTTAGAACAAGTAAACAAAAACTTCATTTTCAAATTGCCATGAGCTTTTAGCAGTTAAGTAAAAGTAGGGAATATGCAAATGTAGCATAGCTCCTGGTGATTAGTTTTATTTTGATGGATTGCTTTTCATTTATCGAGAGAACCATATTTCAAAGCAATATTTACAACATAAAAACATTTGAGATCATTGTGATATGAAAGATGTTATACAATTGATAATTGATGATATTTTGAAGAAAATTATGTATTAAACTGCATGAATCCATGAAGTGTTCTCTGCATATCACTACCTTATTTAAGTAAGGAGGTTTTCAAGTAAATCAACTTCTTTCCTTTTAGTTATGAATTTCAAAAGTACTTTTCATAAAGAAAACAACAAAAAAAAAAATCATTCTTTATCTATATGGACCTAATAAGGAGTCTTGGTGACACAATGGATAAACACTGGAAGGCTGTTGGTTTGAACATACCCAGCATTTGGACGGAGAAAATCCTGGCAAACTGCCCCTGTAAAAATTAAAACCTAGAAAATCTTATGGGACAATTCTTCCATAGTGAACTGAGTAGTACACCTGCCCCAATGCCCAGATATATTACAACAAAAGCAAAATGAAAAATGAGTGTTAAGTAAACCAATGTAAAATCGAAATGTAAAATGTAAAATAAAAAATTAATACAATAAAACTACTGTGTCTTGGAAACTACAGAAAATATAAAATTACACACACACACACACACACATACACACACACACATGCCACACAAATGCAAGGTGGATCAAACAAGTAACTAAAATAAAACATCCGAAAATCAGAAAGAATAAATAGTGTATGAATTAACTGATAAGGAATTCAAAAGAATTAAATTTAGGGCCCTTCAACAGATTAAGAAAGAGATCAAGGAAACAAAGACAATGTCAAAGAAATAATAGATAAAATCAAGGAAAATACAGACAAAACCCAAGAAGGATTCAGGAAAACAATACAAGAACAAATTTGATCAAATTAATGGAAAATTAGAAATAATACAAAAACAGCAAAGAGAAAACCAGAAGATTAATACAAAAAATTCAGAAATAGCATATTGGAGAGGCAAAAGAATATAATTGAATCAATGGAAGACAGAAGTAGTGAAACTGAAGATAAATCTTTTACAATTAAACTGTTAGAGGTAGAATTAGATAAAAGAAAAAAAATAATAATAATAACAAGAAAAAATATAGAAAGCCTAAGAATTATGTGAGACATGCATAAGATTGGAATTCTAGAGCAGGAAGAGGAAAAAAAAAATGTCAAAGATTTGCTGGAAGAACACTTCCCTAGTATAATGAAGACTAGAAAATGTATTTTCAAGAAGGGCAATGAATCACAAATAGGATACATCCCAAAAGGAAATGAGCAAGACACATCACAATCACAACTTTACAAAATCAAAGATGAGGAAGAATCCTGAAAGCTGCTTAGGAAAAATGAAGAGTTATCTATAAAGGAGGACTGATAAGATTAAGCCTTGATTTTTTTTGGCAAAAAACATGCAAACAATAAGGCAATTGGATGACATACTTAAAACCCTGAAAGAAAATTGTTGCCAACCACAAATTATACATCCAGCAAAATTGTTCCTCAAATTGGGTGATAAAATTAGGACATTTCCAGATAAACAAAAATTCAGAGTATTTGTAAAAACCAGACCAACTGTAAGAGATGCTAAAGGGAGCAACTTGGGAAGAGAACAAATAGCAGAAAACAACCTGAGCTTGAGATACACAATATATCATCTGGAAATCCAGCCAGATATAGAAGTATTAAAAATAAACTAAACCTACAAGACTGAAAATAGGGAATCAGCAACATCAATTTGTAAATGATGACAACTAAAAAATAAAAAGTGGGAATGAATAGTGTAGTTACAGAAATTCCAAATGAAGAAGTCAAGAAAATATCATGATAGAACAGAGTAATTTAAATTGGAAGACAATAATAAATGACAGGGTAATCTCAAAGAAAATTAATAAATTTTCTTATCA